TGCACAGATCACAGCAGGGCCGTGGACCTTTGGGAGATATGGGGTGCATGAGGGAGGATGGTGGTGGTGTTGGGGTGAGGAAAGGCAAGTGATGCGTGATCACGCATGACGCATCATGATGCATGCACGCTGTAAGGTTTCCATTGTACACACCTAGCAGCAAAGATGAACAAGCGCACACACAAGCAAGCACACTCACGCACAAGCACACGCACACGCACAAGCACACACACACACTCACTCACGCATACACACACGCACTCACGCACACACACACGCACTCACGCACACGCACAAGCACACGCACAAGCACACGCACAAGCACACGCACAAGCACACGCACAAGCACACGCACACACACACACGCACACTCACGCACACACAAACCTCATCGCTCAGACAGAGGTCCGTAAGGTTGTACACGGGGGTGTCGACAGGCTTTGCGTCATCAAACACAACCGGGTTGTGGCGATGGGGCTGCGGTGTAACAAAGAGGTTGTAGTGGTGATCATTGTGGAAAACGATTGCAGACGGTCCGTGTGAGGCAAAGCACAACCAAACGCAGAAGCACACAGACACACAAGCAAGCACGCACGCACACACGCTCACCAAATACACACTTCCACGTCCACACGCACACCAGACGCACACATACCTTGAGCGGGCCGTCACGCTCGTGGGCTGCGCCAATGTTTGGATAGACGGTCACCCCCGTGGCGCGAACACGCACGTCATCAACAATGATGTCGCGATCGCGGATGATATAGCTGAACTCCCGCTTGTACCGCTGCTCAAATGCTTCGCGGAAGAGGCCAATTTGCTCTTCCTCGCCCTCAACCACACGCGGGGACACGCGCACGAGCTCAGAGGGGCAGATCATCATGGCAAAGTCGGTCTTGTGGTAGCGCATGTTCAGGAACGGCTCGACTGGCAGCAATACGCGGTGGTGTGAAAGGAAACAGCAGCGGCGTGTAATGTGGAGGTGAGAAGCACACCACACGCCTGCGACATGGCAGACAAGCACACCACACGCTTGCGACATGGCAGGTGGCTGCCTACACCTGCACGCACGTGCACACGGATCCGCACGCGTATGCACGCACTGCCACCGGACAAGAACCACTGCGACCGCTATCATGTGAGCTGAACGCACCAACAATCTTGTCGTCGGCAAACCCTTGCTCCTTCAAGGCATCCACGGCCTTGGCTGTGAGCTCGCCTAGTGTCTTCCACAGGGATGCGTTGTTCTCCGGTTTGAAAATGGCGGCACTCGGCTGCTGCTCCTCCTTCACCACATCCGCAGCGGCAAGCCCATACGCTGTGTTGGAAGGGGCACAAAGAGAGAGAGAGTGTGTGTGTGTGTGTGTGTGTGTGAAAGGAGGGGGCAAGACTCGTGTCGCACACACACACGCACACGCACACACACGCACACACGCACACACACGCACACACACACACACACGCACACACACACAGACCCTGACGTGCGGTACCTGAGAGGATGCCAGAGTACTTTGAGACGTGGATGCGGGTCATGCCGAGCGAGCGGGCAATGGCACACGCGTGCTGCCCACCAGCGCCGCCAAAACACGCCAGCACGTGATTGGCGATGTTGTGGCCCTTCGACTGCGTGAGAGAGCGGATGGGCCGGCACATGGCCTCGTTTGCCACCCGAATAAACCCAAGCGCAACCTGATGCAAGACAAGGTGGTTGGGGGCGGTGGTGGTGATGGATGCGAGGGGGGGGGGGTAATTGTGAGTGGAAATGTGTGAATACATGCACAACCATTGCAGTCCAAAGTGTTGTGCAGAATGCATGGCATGGTTCTACCACCAGTACAAGAATGTTTCGGTCAAACCACACACGCGCGCAGGAATGCAAACAGGGATGCAACCGCAAACGCACAAACATTCATAAACATGCACGACCACGCAAGATAGAGTGTTTGCGTACGTCATATTTGCTGAGTGGCTTGAAGCTGCTGCCTTGCGCTTCCTTCAGATACGCATTCACTTCCTCGGTCAGCTCCTCAAATGCCTGCCAACGGAATACAAACCAAAAGCAGGCGCGAGTAGGATGTGATGTGCCATGATAGCACGTGTGAGAAGCAATGCGACAACCCACCACCACAGCAACGCTCGAGCGCACGCGTCGTACACGCACGCTCACGCACGCACATGCACGCTCACGCACGAACACACACGCTCACAGAATGCACACACACGCACGCACACACACACACATACGTGTAACAAGGAGCAGCACCTTGTGGGAGGCGTCAACATCGAGTGGCTGATCGTAGTTTGGACCAAAGATCTTGGGGAAGTCGTCCGGGATCAGCCGCCCAGTCACTGCACACGCACACAGTGGGAATGGTTGCGTGAACGCAAACGTAAATGGGAAGGCTGAAGCCTGTCAAGTGCATACTTCAGACCACAACTCAGCACATCGCCACGCAGTTCAACCCGCAGTCCATCCCCACGCGCAATCACCATGCCCTTACCGAGGTTAGCGTCCGTGATGGCGAGGTGGCCACCCTTGCGGTAGCAAACGGGACCAGGCTCAGACCCAACGCTCTCCGGGCCGACAACAAACCGCCCGCTGCGGAAGAAACACCGCGACCCGCCCCCAGAGGCAACCTGGGGTGGTCGTGTGTGTGTGTGTGTGTGTGTGTGTGTGTGTGTGTGTGTGTGTGTGTGTGTGTGTGTGTGTGTGTGTGTGTGTGTGTTTTGTGTTGGGTTGGATGTTAAATCGAGCGTTGGTCTCGCATGGAACCCAACATCATGGTGAGCGATGACACGGGTGAGATGGTGGAGTGCACGTACGGTTTGGATGTCCATTTGCGGAGCCTGGATCATGATGCCTGCAAGCACCGTCTCAAACACGTGCTCGTACACGCCGCCATATCGCGACACCTGAGCGTACACGACAGGAAAGATGGCGGATGAGCCACAACAGTATGATGGCGCAACGAACAAATGCACAAGGCGTACAACATATACACACACATCACCAGCCGCACAGAGGATACAGTTCACAATGCGCGTGCAAGCAGCACACTTACAACCCGTGCACAACAAAGACCACAGGCACAGGTTCACTCAAAACACGCACATCTGTGGATGTGCCACCCATGTCGAACCCAATGACAGGCTGCTTCTTGTCGGTGTCGTATGCGGTGAGGGCATAGCCAACAACGCCACCGGCAGGGCCAGACACGATTGCGCGCGAGCCAACAAAGCTCTCCATGGGCGTGAGGCCGCCATCAGATTGCATAAAGAGCACGCTCACGCCCTCCAGGTTGTTCTTGAAGCCGGAAGAGAATGACGCAATGTAGCGCTTGATGCATGGGGTGAGGTAGGCGTCTGCACAGGCCGTGTAGCCGCGAGGAACAATGCGAGACATCTGCATCACCTCGCTGGAGAGCGACACGTGCTCAAAGCCAATCTCTTGCGCAATCTTGCCCACTTGCTGCTCGTGTGTGCTGTGGAGGTAGGAGTGCATGAGCACAACGGCAAGACTGCGAATGCCGGCGTCGTACACGGTCTGCAGGTCACGCCGGACCTCATCAAGATCAAGGGGCCTCTCCTCCTGCAAACGTATGCCAGGGTCGTGTGTGTTGTGTGTGCATGTTTGGGTTGTGAGTGTGAGTGTGTGTGTTTGTGAGTGTGTGGTGTGTGCGCGTGTGTGTGTGTGTGTGTGTGTGTGCGCGCGCGTGTGTGAAGTATGTTGTTAAGCTATTGCATGGATTGTGAGAGTGTGCACGCATGACCTTGCACTGTGGCAAATATGAGGCATGGGCTTTCATTACAATGGCAGTGAGACCACACAAACGTTACCTTCAGGTGCTCGCCAGTGACAGATTCGATTTCGCCGTCTTCGCACAGGATGACGCGCCCCGACACTTCCACAACCTGTGTGTTGTGCAACACCACGCACACGCACGTGTGCAGGGAATACGCGGACGGGAGGGCGCGTGTGGTTCGTGCAGGGAACAAAGTGTGAGACAAAGAGAAAGTGATTGGTGCAACCAGCAGACGTGGCCTTGTGATGGTGTGCGTGATGGTCTCAGCACATTGTTACATTGTTCGCACATGTAGAGGGTGTTCAGGATGGAAGGTGCAACACACCTGCGAGTAGAGCACTTCTGGCACTTCAATCTTCAGGTCAAAGATCTTTGGGCGCGACTGGTTGCCAATGTGCAGCAGGTCGCGCAGGCCCTGTTGGTAACAAGTGTCGTGCGCGGTGAGACAATGAGCGGCAGGCTTGTTGCGTGGCACACACGCATGGCAGTGCAAGCTCGCTCGCAGCGGCACATGCACACGGAATGGTTGCACACTCAGCACACACTCAGCACACATATACACGCACTTGCACGCACACATGCACAGTGCACGCGAAGCATGGAGCGCACCTTGGTGATGACCAGTGCAATGGGCTCCCCTTTGCGTTCGAGAAGGGCGTTGGTGGCAACCGTGGTGGCCATGCGAATGGACTCGATGTTGCTCGTATCAATGGGCTCCCCTTTGGGATGGGGCTTGCCAGTGTGCTGGTATCATCATCCACACAGTAAACCAAGCAACAACAACAAGCAACAACAAGCAACAACAAAGTCAGCTCTCCAGACAAACCCCACACAAGCACATGCACATGCACACAATCACACTGCACACTGCGCACAACCAATACATCGCACGTCATCAGACTGCACACACAAGCACACACAAGAAGCACACGCACCTTCTCCAGGATGCGTCGAATGGCTTCAGTGGGCGCGTCCTCGTAGCCGCTGTCCACTGACAGCAGCTTCATGACCGTGCGCTCGCCATTGGGCAGCTCCGCATACACGTCCGTGAACGTGCCACCACGGTCGATGGAGAAGCGGAAGCCCCGCCGCTTGCTGCTCTTGTTGTCTTCGCTCATGCTGATGGTTGGCGTTCGTGCAGTGTGATGACGTGCGATGTATTGGTTGTGCGCAGTGTGCAGTGTGATTGTAGAGAAATAGCGTATGCTTTCCTGTAATTTTCGCTGTCCGCCTGTTGTTGGAGGACGGGCGAGCGGACGAGAAGCAAGGAGCAGCGTTGTGCTGTTGTTGTGTTGTGGTGTGTTGCGAGTGAGACGGACGCTGACCATGCAGACGTCACGGTGGTTGCTGGTGGGGGTGAGCGCTGTGTATACACTGGCAGTGTTGGGGGTCGGTGTTTGGTTTGTGGGCAGGTATCAGGGTACCGCGGACACCGTGGTTGGCGCAGATGGCGTGCCGCAGCACATGCACGACCGTCACCACAACCACCACCACCAGCAACGAGCTTACACGCTGGAGGAAGGTTTGAAGCAGCTGCTGCTTCTTCCCGGGTCGAGCGAGGAGCAGGGTGAAGACGACAGGCCACGCAACGTGCCAAGGTTACACTGGGAGCCGCAGAACAGCAGCGTTGTTGCTGGGCAAGCCTGTCAACACTGCCCGGTGGAAATTCCGCGCATCATCCACCAGACGTGGAAGACCGAGGAGTTGCCATACCTGGCGCAGTCGAGCGTGGAATCGTGGCAGCGGCTGAACAAGGGCTACGAGTATCGCTTCTACACGGACGATGACATTGCAGCATACATGGAGAAGAACCACCCCAACCTCGTGAACACGTGGAACCGCATGAAGCCCATCCACCGCGCAGATCTCTTCCGCTACGTCATCTTGCACGATGTGGGCGGCTACTACGCGGACATTGATGTCACATTGCAGACGCCACTGGACGACTGGCCGCTGTACGTGTGGCGTGAGGCTTGAGAGTGGGGTGAGAAAGGTCTTCTTCTTCTTCTTCTTCTTCTTCTTCTTCTTCTTCTTCTTCTTCTTCTTCTTCTTCTTCTTCTTCTTCTTCTTCTTCTTCTTCTTCTTCTTCTTCTTCTTCTTCTTCTTCTTCTTCTTCTTCTTCTTGACCCTTTTCCTTTGCTTTCGCTGCTGTTGCTGTTGCTGCTTCTTCTTCTCTAACTTTGCCTTTCTCGGTTGTAATGGTGAGGAATCACATCCACGCACATGCACCCACATCCACGCACATACACCCACGTACACGCACATGCACACACGTACACGGTCATGCTCACACCCCTTTACATTCGTGCCTACTCATATGCCCGCCATGATGCGCAAACAATGGCAGGAAGCACAACATTCATTACAGCGCAGCTGTCATTGTGGGGTTTGAGATCATCACGCAACGGCCAGACTGGAAGCAGTGGTTTTCTCGGCAGTATCAAATGTATGTCACACCATTGCAATGCACCTTGTTATGGTGGTTTGAAGGCCGTCACCATGACCCTGCTGTTGCTCGCGGTGCTGTTTCTTCTCTCCTCCATAGCGCGACGCCTGTGCTGCGTCTTAAATTGCTGCGCAAGTCGCCACCTGTCCCAATTGCCACGTCAACACCCCCCCCCCCGCTTCCTCTGCTTCCCTCATTGTCTCTCCGGTGTGTGTGGTGGTGTGTGTTTCCCCCGATTCCAGGTGCCAGTGGACAATGGCTGCTGCACCTGGACATGAGATCTTCGCTCGCACCATCGGCATCATCAACGAGAACTTCAAGTCTCTCTCAGACACGGACATCGAAACCATGAGGTTGTGGTGTGTGTCTGTGTGTGTGTGTGTGTGTCTGTCTGTGTGTCTGTGTGTCTGTGTGTCTACCTGTGCGAGGGATCTGGCCAGTGCAAGTCCGTTCGAGCTCACGCCGTCAGTGCGACTGCGCCCGCCTGTGCCCGCGACTGCCACTCGCCCGCAGCGCCGTGAAGCTGACGGGCCCTGCCGTGTGGAGCGATGCGGTAACGAGTCACCTCCATGACCACTACGGTGTTGCTTTTGGACAAGGAATGTTCACGGACGACAGACTGCGAGACAACTACGTGCTCAGTACGTGTATTTGCGCCTGTATCTGTGTCTGTGTCTGTACCTGTGTGTCTGTGCCTGTGCCTGTGTGTCTGTGTCTGTACCTGTGTGTCTGTGCCTGTGCCTGTGTGTCTGTGTCTGTACCTGTGTGTCTGTGTCTGTACCTGTGTGTCTGTGCCTGTGCCTGTGTCTGCACGTGGGTGCACAATTGCCAGCACCTGTTCCTTCCGTGCACCAATTCCACGTCACTCACACGCTTGCATCAACGTGCATGCATCTACGCACCCTCCCCACCACCTTCTTGTACTCCTCCAGTTGGTGATGTGCTGCTGATGCCCATGCGCTCCTTTGCCGTCGGCAGCGCAGGATACTTTGTGAGTTCGTCGTGCACGCGTGTGTGCATGTATGTGTGTGTGCATGTATGTGTGCATGTATGTGTGCATGTATGTGAGTGTCTGCCCACGGTGTGGAATGAGCTTGCGGTGCCGCTTCAGCATCATGCACACGCGTCAAGCAGCGCAGCACGCACACAACATGACACACAACACACAACGCATGACACACGCCAACAAACACACCTTCGCGTGCGCAGCCGCCATCGTCGTTTGAGTGGTCAGACCAGCTTGTGACCCACGGGTTTCAGGGCTCCTGGAAGAAAAACCCAAATCCTCAATACGTCGGTATGTCACTCTTTCCTCCCCACGCCCATGTCACCCCCGTGTGCAATGCGCACTGACGAGCATCATCGTATTCTTGTGTGGTTGCGGAACAGCGAGTTGACAAAGCCCCTCCACGTGCTCTGATTCGCATTGGAGCGCATCACAACTGCTTCTCTCACGTCTGCGTGTGTCTCTCGCCTTTCCTCCTCCCACCCGCTTAACCCCTGATAGATTTTGGGCAAGAGGAGGCTGTCATTCCGTTTGTGCCGCTGGAACGAACGTCCACTGCAGTCCTCCTGAGCGCCAAATACGGGATCCAAGGACAGCCTTCAACGCCGCTGACGTCACCGTACATGGAGCCGCTCGAAAATCTCTTTGACGGCAGCACAGACACCAAGTGGCTTGGCTACCACGACTTTACCGGTGTGTGTGTGTGTATGTGTGTGTGTGGACGTTTGCGAGAGTGTTTGCGTGTGTGTGTGTGTGTGTGCGTGGCGTGTGTTTGCGTGTGTGTGTGTGTGCGCGTGTGCGTGTGTGTGTGCATGTTTACACATGTCATGCGTTGTTGTGATTTCCTGTTCCACACTACTCATCACTTCCACATCGCACCGTCGTACCTCGACTACAGGCGAGGCTCCGCCTTCAGCAAATGTCACCATCGCCCTCTATCCACGCCAGTACGCACAGCTGCGCGAATATGAACTCGTCTCCGGAAACGACATGCCAAACCGTGACCCCGTCACGTGGTACGTATGTGCGTGTATGTGTGTGTGTGAGGGGGGGAGTGGGTGCATGTCTGTGTGTAGGTGTGTGCATGTGCATGTGTGTGTGTGTGTGCATGTGTGTGCGTGTGTGTCTGTGTCTGTGTCTGTGGGTGTGTGCGTGTCTGTGTGCATGTTTGTGTCTGTCTGTCTGTGGGTGGTGGCTGCTGTATGCTTTGGGTGCAGATGAATTGCTCTTGGCCTTGCGCTGTCACTCGCACTTGGTCTCACCCATGTGTGTCTGTGCGTGCGCGTGCAGGCAAGTTGTGTGTGTCGGAGAGCACGATGTCGAGACAGTCATTCACAGCAACGACGGCGCTGTCTTCACTGATCGAGTGCAAGCGAAAGCCTTCAGGTGCAAAGACCCGTAGCCAGAAGAGCGGAAGGGGGTTGGAGTTTAACTGGGCCGTCGTTGCATTGTGTTATTTTGGCAGTGTATCACGATGTGTGACATGACTGCACAATCAAAGTGCATTGTGTGCAGCACACGTACGCTTCGTGTAGTTGGTCACGTCTGCTCACGTGTATCTCCTGTTGTGGTGTTCCTGCAGGGTGGCCATGATGGCGGTGTGTCGCTCGTTTGTGTTTGTGTTTAAGCAAGTCGTGAACCCACACAAGGTGCGTTGCTTCTGCGGGATTGGTGCTGTGTCAACCTGCATGCTTCTAGCGACATGCGCTTGTGTCTGCTGGTTTTGCTCGCATGCGTGTGTGTGTGTGTGTCTGTGTGTATGTGTGTGTGTGTCTGTGTGTGTGTCTGTCTGTCTGTGTCTGTCTGTCTGTGTCTGTCTGTCTACCAATTTGCGTTTGCGCATGTTCTGACTCGCTTGGGGGTGCACGTGTGCGACTCGTGCTTGTGTGTGCTTGCACGTTGCTGCGGTAGGTTGACTGCCTCCAGCTGACGGCGCTGCGGCTGACTGATCTCACGCCAGCGCGACCGAGTGAACCAGGTGATCACCGCATTACGCACACGTTGTATCACACGCACACGCGCACACACGCACGCACACGCCATGTCCCGCGCTCGCGTGTATTTCTTCGTGCGAGTGCTTCGGTTGCGGCTGTGCTTGTGGGATGACGATTCGCGTGCTCACGTGTGTTTCGTGTGTGCAGAGTGCGAGTCGACGTCGTTTGGGCAGTTGTGCACGTGCTGTACGCTGGACATCCGCGGCAGCGAGGGCGCCATGAACGTTCTCGATGAGAGCCTGTCGACGCATTGGAAGGCATCTTGGCCAGCAGCCATCTCCCCTGATGATGGCGGTGGTCTTGAATTGCGGCCATCGCTGCGATTTGTGTTTTCTGGCGGTGCGCGTCGCGTTAGCGGATATGAGCTGGCCCCTGCGGGCGACGAACGGGCCATGGACCCGGCCGCTTGGTGAGCGACTGCTGCTGTTTAAGTTATTGTTGTTGTTGTTGTTGTTGTTGTTGTTGTTGTTGTTGTTGTTGTTGTTGTTGTTGTTTGTTTGTTTGTTTGTTTGTTGTTGTTGTTGTTGTTGTTGTTGTTGTTGTTTGTTTGTTGTTGTTGTTTAAGTTGTTTGTTGTTGTTGTTGTTTGTTTGTTGTTGTTGTTTGTTTGCATTCTGCTCACGATCCAGCCACTTTGTGTGTCCATCTTGCAGGCGTGTTGTTGGCAAGCGAGACGAGAAAGAGCAGCGGTGGGAGCAGGTGGATATTCGGTCCGGTGCCGTCTTTGAAGAGCGAGCAGCTCCACTTCGGTTTCACTTCGAGCAAACGCGACCATTTGCTGTGTTGGAGTGGCAGCTGTTGTCAGCGCACAACAGCACGCATCCGCAGTGCGTGGATGGCACGCGCTTCTGCGTCCAGCTGGCGCGGTTTTCGTGGCTGTTTGATGACGAAGACGGTCAAGCCGAGTCCAATAGACAATAGAGCAATGACAATGACAATGATTACAGTGCTGCTGCTGCTGCTGCTGGTGATGGTGTTGGTGATTGATGGTGGTTGATGATTCGGTTGTCGTTTTCTCTGCTGTCGTGCGTTGTGGTGGTGACCGCTTATGTCTGTGGAATTCAAAGTTCTAGCTCGACTCATTGTAGCAGTAGTCAACGTTGTACAACTTCATGACGCTGTCCGCAGCTGTTTGTGGCCTTTTTCTCTTTTCGGTGCTTTTACACCATGTTTGTAAGGTTTGTGTCTGTGGACCAGCAGATTATGGTCGTGCGGGGAACGATTTGAGGAGGCTTATGTGCATCTATGTGTTGGGCATTGGAGGGGGGAGGCGATGCTGGAACAACACCGCACAACTGTTGGAAAAGAACCAAACAGACCAACATCATTCCCTTTTGTTATTTGTTCTTTTTCTTCGCATTCTGTATTGTGTGCGTGTCAGTGGAAGCCGTTTGCCCTGAAGCAATGACGGGAAGCAGTCTTCACGGGCTTGGTCGTGTATAACACCAGGATCGACCGCGAGTCGATGCAGCCTGTACTAGGATACGCCATTTCATATCCTGGAGACTCCTTTTTTTATCTTTTTTTCTGCTTCCTTCGGCTTGCCTCGCCTTCATCACGCGACGCCTCCGATACACGATGACACCAGCCAACATCCACCTTGACATCACCGTACACGACACGAACTCCACAAGTGCCGAACTTCCATGACGCGGTCACATTGCTTTATTGAGAACCAAATGCACGCGTCAAAAGACCGTATTCCAGTGAAAACGAACGACCACACACACACACACACACACACACACACACACACACACACACACACACACACACACACACACACACCGCAGGCCAACTACTCCTGCGAGTACGACCGCTTGCTGCGCTTGGTCGAGTTCTTCCCCTTCTTCTTGGACGCACGGCGCTTTGCAGCCTTGTCCTGCTTCTTCGGCGTTGTCGACTGTTTCTTGGCCTTTGCCGCCTTTCCCTTCTTCTTTGCGTCAGCACCTTTCCTTGCGGACCCAGGCGTGCTGCCCGCACCGCCACTCTTCCTCGCCACATCCTTTGCGTCCTCTTGCGCCACAGCACCATCATCCTCATCCTCGTCACCACCATCCTCGTCAGTATGCATGGCGTCGCCACCGGGCCCCGCACCACCCTGCTGCTGCTGCTGCTGCTGCTGCTGCTGCTCACCTGTGATGTCTTCGACAATGGCGCCCTCGTCGGCGAGACCCGGCTCAACGTCGACGTCTTTCGGCGCACTCACCGACACACCGGCAACAGCTGGGTTCATCAACTTCAGCACAATCCTGCAACACCATGCAAATGCACACACGTGAGCGTTTCGCACGTGATGCGCGGCTGGCAGCAGGCAATCGCAACAGCACCTGAGCGCACACATCCACGCACGCGCAAAACCGCCCGCAAACAGAAAAGCGCTCGCAAGCAATGCTGACCTGCGTCGCTGGGCGTCTGATTCGTCAACCTGGATGAGCACCTGCACCTCATCAAACACTTTGAAGGTCGTGGCCTGCAAGCAACAGCACCCCGGTCAGCCAAGCCACGGAGAGGACGCGACAGTCACACGTGCCACAGACGCGGACAGGCAGACAATGGCAGACACAGACACAAACACACACACACTTGTGTACACACACACAGATTTGTGCACACACACACAGACACACACACACACAGACACACAGACATACACAGACACACAGACAGACACACAGACACAAACACACACACACACACATACACACACACACACACACACACACACACACACACACACACACGAACCTGGCCGCCATCTGCGGGCGTGACGTCCAGCGTGAGCTGTTCTGCATCAAATTTGAGCGTTGGCGCCGTCTTCGATGAATCGATGGGGTCAAAGTACACGGGGCCCTCCACGCCAAACGTTGGCACCAGGACCTGCACTGCATTCTTCCGCACGCGCGTCACGTAGCCAGTCGCAGCCGTGGGGCGCCCCTACACATAACGAATAGCACGTGCACGCGCGCGTGTGTGCGCGTGCGTGTGTCGGTACAGGCGTGAGCGTAAGTCTGTCGCAAGTGACAAAGAAGAAACGGCACAACAGCAACCCGTCAACACCACACCCATCCCACGGACACGCATCACCACCAAACCTCAAGTCTCCCCATCCGACCTTGAAGTAGACGCAGCACTGGAGCTCGGTAGACGCGCGCGCTGCGTATTGCGCCATGCGGTTGCGAATGTTCAGTCCATCACACACGCTCGACACCTTGTCCTGCAAATTACCAAAGGAATAAAGGGAGGGGGATAGAGGGGTGTGAGTCGCCTGCGCGTGTGGATGACTACAACGGCGGCTGTGCGCAACCACGTGACTGCACGTCTGCATGGGCGTGCATGCGCAAATGGCTGTGGTTGTGTATGTGCGCGTGTGTGCGTTTGTAAAATTGTTTGCATGCAGGCCCGGGGCACCTTGTCAAGGAGGTCTGGATAGGTGATGTCTGCTCCAATCGACGCGGCGAGGAGACGATGCACGAGCACATCAGCATACCTGCACACGGCGAGAAGCACGCAGTTCGGGAAGGAGGGTCAACACGCGCAAAGCCACTGCACTGCACATGACACAGTGTACAATAACGACACACACACACACACACACACACACACACACACACACACACACACGCATTTCCACCTTCGAATTGGAGATGTGAAATGGGTGTAGATGGGGGAGGCAAGACCGTAATGCTTGAATTCAGTCTGGGGAACAGTGCCCGAGCTGAAATACACGGCTTGCATCATGCAGCGGGTCGCCTGGAACGAGGGGCGGGGCCAAAAAACAAAACAAAACAAAACCACAAACGAACAAACACGCATCACACAAACGAAGGGGTCGAGGGAAAGCAAAGAGACAGCTTGAGCAAAATCTCAGCACAGGCAACGGCAGATACAGCAGCAACATGCATCCAAGTCCAATTCAAAGCGCGCAAGCACATGCCCCTCAAACACGTACCAGCATGCGCAGGAGGGTGCGGAGGTAGGGCTTGCCCTCTGGGGCGGCGCGGTCCAGGGAGACAGCAAGCTCCTTTGAACTCGCAGTGCTCAGCTCAACACCAGCAACATGCGCCTGCACACGCAACGCACAGAGGTTTCAGTCACGCAAAGCACACATCACATTACATTACATCACACCACACACACACACACACACACGCACACACACACGCACACGCACACACACACACACACACACACACACACACACACACACACACACACACACGCACCGCCTTGAGGAGGGGTTCAAAGTTTGCTGGTGGCGGGGACGGGTGACGACGAAGAACAGCGCACTGCGGAAAGTGGCGGAAAATGTGCTCAGCGGTCGACACATTGGCCAACAGCATAAACTCCTGCACCCACGAGTGAGCACACACGTACAACCGCGCACACGTGTCGAGTCATTAATAGCCGCGAGTGTCAGCAAGAGCAACAGGAACATTCACTCAGGCAGGATCGCAGTCATGCAACACCAGCAGCAACAGCGCACCTCGACCATGGAGTTTGTCTCGTACTGCTCCTTGATCTTCATGTCCACGGGGTCGTTGGTCTCGTTGTCCATACTAAAGCGCACCTGTGGCAGAGGAGAAGGAAGAGGAGGAGGAGACACATTGCAACCGCACACATGCACACGTCAGAGAGGGGTACCATGGGGAATATGCGCTTGCGTGTGTGCTTCTGCGCGAGACGCGAGTGTACAGTGCTCGCGAAGGTGTACATGCAACATATGCGCGCGTGTGTGTGTGCGTGCGTGCGTGGGTGGGTGGGTGCGTGTGTCCACAAATGCAAGCATGGACCTCTGTCGATGCAAGCATGAGGGCGCCACGTTCGATGCGGCGACGGCGCAGTTTCTTCGCCAGAGAGTTGAGAACGCGCAGACCTGCACGCGGTTGAGAGGTTGCGGGGGGGGGGGGAGCGAACGTCGGGGCACGTGAACAACAGCGAGCATGAATCCAGGAGCAAGCAGCCCTCATCGTCAGATGCAAACACACATCAAGCAAGCATAAGAAAGAACGGTCTCACACACGCGCACACGCATGCACACGCATGCACACGCATGCAAAACATGAGGGGAGGAAGGCACGTGTTTCAAGGTAATGTGGCCTCACTCTGTGTGAGCTCGGAGTTGTCCGACTTGTCATCGATGCGCATCTGCGCTTCCGAATACATCATTGCCGACTGCAGACAAGATCAATAACAATAATAGCAGCGGATGGTGGAGCGTGGGAGTGTGAATGGGTGCGTCACACACACACACACACACACACACACACACACACACACACACACACACACACACACACACACACACCACGCCCGCATTCTCGTTGCTTTCTTATCCGAGTGTGTGTGTGTACATGTACGAGACCCTCTGCCTCTATGACAGGGAAGCACACCTTGGACTTGATGATGGACTTGAAAAACTCGGTCGAGACAATCTCAGCCTGCAATGGGGACAACAGTTGTTGGTGTGGCAGCGGTGAGGTCACATCACATAGGATCGACCAGTCACACACTTCCACATCCATCTTCCACATCCACCTTCCACAACCACCTCCCACAACCACCTCCCACGCGCTCTCACTCAATGTCACTCAACCCCCCCTCTCTCTGTCCATCACTGCAGGCGCCTGATTTGCATGCGTGCACCACACCTCTTTGGTGATCTCCCAAACACAGGAGAAGGCAAACCGCTCCTCGCCGCCACGAAGAGAGCACAAGTTCGAGCTGAGCAGCCCAGGAACCATGTCAATCCTGCACACACACACACACGCACACATATGGACACACACACACATAGATAGACACACAGGCACAGGCACAGATACAGACACAGACACAGACACACAGACAAGCACGCAGTAGCGTCACAAAGGATGTGGAGCGAGGGTGGAGCACAAGGGCGCAAAACGTCAGCAAAGCGCGTTGCCACCAGTGCCTACAACTTCGCACCAGTGGTCACCATCACCCCCATCCGAGCAAAAATGCATTCGCCAAACCGCCACCTCCACTGCACTGCAGCCCCCCCCCGGACGTGTCACCACCGACCCGACCTGCGGTCTGCAAGGTACACGGTTGTGCCGCGTTTGGCGGCTTCCTTGTCCAGCGCACTGCCTGGGCGCACAAAGTACGTCACATCTGCAATGTGCACCCCAATCTGGTGTGGCGCGGAGGAAGTGTGCATATGGACGCAGGGGTGAGCAGCCACAAGACAGACAACACAGGGGCAAGGTCCATGCGTGTGTGTGCGCATGCACAGACAGACATAGACAGACATAGACACACATGCATAAACATGCACAGCAGGGGCAGCAAACGCCACAGCACCTCGTAGTTGCCGTTGTCGAGCTCGCGCGCGTGGAGGGCATCGTCAATGTCCGTACATCCTGCAACGCGAATCATATGCGCACATGCGAACACACATACGCACCACACACGCATGTGAACGGTGGAGACCATCAGTTGACCAACACCACGATCGTGCAAAAGCTGCGAGTACGACATCACCTGGCGGGTCGACGGAGCAGATGTTGAGGTGGCGCAGGTCGCGGCGCTTCGCCAACGAGTCTGGGGCATCAGAACACGTCCACGTCTCCGAGGGCAGGCAGCTGCACACATACACACACACGCATACACACACACACACGCACACACACACACGCATACAAGCATGTGCAGGCAGTTATGTGAGGATGATGAAGATGAGGGTGGTTGTTGACCAAGCTCATGGTATGAGGGAGTGAAGGAGTGGTGATAACTGTGGGGCAAACAAAACGCGGCCAACTGATTAATACGCAAGCACAGCGTGATGCTGCAACAACAATGACGACATGACGCAAGTGCATGCGTGTTTGACTGACTCGAGCACGGCCTGGGAAAAGGCCTCGTAAGGGACGTCGTGTTCGAGAAGAACAACCTCCGTCTCCGTTTCCCGGTCGCCAATCGGCCCCAGCCGCCGTACGAAGTGGCCCTGGTGGTATAGGAGTGGGGGGGGGGGGCGGAGGCGATGATGATTGTGGTGTGGGAAGATGATGATGAGCAAAGGGTGGAAGGAGCCATACTGGAATGGACACAACAACGATAGACATGCTCTCACAGCCAAAGTGCACACACACATCTCTCTGCACACACAAACAAACGAACAGCGGCACACCCACCCCCACCCACCCCCACCCACCCACACACACCCACCCCCACCCACCCCCACCCACCCACACACACCCACACACACACACACACACACACGCACACAAAACAAAACAAAACAAAACAATCAAACGAACAAGCACAGTGTGAGTGTGAATGGGCAGCGGACCACTGGGTAGCGCGATTTTGAGGGCCAGGCGTCGATGGCAACAACAATCTGCTGTCCAATCAGCTCGGCAGTCTGGCTCGATTGGATGCGCACATAAGGGATGCGCTCATCCTGTGCAGAGAAGAGCACGTGCGTGTCTGTTGGCCTTGCATCCACAAGCACACCGCAGTACGGCCGCCACCGGCGCCGCACAATGCCAACAATCTTTCCCGTTGGTTTGGGCTCAGACACAACAGCGTCGTCGTCTTCGTCCTCAAGCTTCGTGCTCGTCACTAGCACATTCGCACCGCGCTTCTCCACAACATCTGACGTGATGGTGGTGTTGGTTTGGTTGCAGTGGTGGTTGTAGTCGCAGTAGTCATAGCAGGTGTAGTTGCGTTGTGGGTGTTGTGGTGTTTGAGGGGAAGGGTGGAGGAGTGGAGGAAGCAAAACCCACACACCCACAGCGCCACGCGCGTGCAGACAGACAAAACCAAAGTGAGGGGGTGGGTAGATCAATAGGTGTTTAGATTCATGGTAGAGGCACGCGGCGTGCACCAACATCAACATCGCAAATGCATGTGGAACGAGCAGCAACATGTCGTTCGTACCGAGCGGGGCCTTCCACTCTGCCTTTGGAAGAAGGGAGAGTGCCACAACATCGCCCTGCACAGCCCTGTTCATGTCCCGCCCAATCACAAGCACAGCGTCGTCTCGCCCGCGTACGCGCACAAAGCCCTCGTTTGGATTCTCCCTGCAATCGATGTCAGCGACCCCACGTGAATGCGTATGTGCGAACGAGCGGGTGAGAGTGTGCATTTGTGTTGGAATGTGCGTGTGTGTGTGCGTGTATGCGAGCACGTGTTCATGTTAATGTTTGTGCACGTACACGTGCACATGAACAAGAGTTGCAATACAATGTGAATCGACACATGCCACCACCACCACCACCACGACGAACCTTGATGCTTGGAAGACGCCCTGCAGGTAGACACCGCCCTTGATGCCCTGCTGGATGGCCGTCTCGTTCAGGTACGCATCAAATGGCTCGCTCAGCTCGTCCTCGCGCGCCATCACCCTATAAACACACGTACGTGTACACGCACACACGTGGGTGGGTTTAGGAGCAGGCACCAAAGCAGCAAACCACAAACTCACTTGCATTCTTCGCTCCAAGCTCACACACACACACAGACACAGACACAGACACGCACACACAGACACAGACACAGACACGCACACACACACACACACACACACACACACACGCACAGACACGCACACACACACACACACACACACACGCATACGCTCACGTCACTTGTTGTCAAGGCACAGGCATCGTACTTTGAGAAGGTGTCGCTTGGATATGCGAGCAGATCTTTGACAGCAGGATCATCCACGAATCGGCGCACGTACTCATGTACTGGGCACCCAAGCATTTGTGTATGTGTGTGTGTGTGTGTGCAAGCGAGTTGGATGAAGTTGTACATGTTGCGTGTGAGCAAGAGCAATGCGTGAGCCGTGGTGGTGGTGGTGGTGAGTGAATGCAAAAGCAACGCTGGTGTTCCTGACACCATTCAGCTGCACAAAATCCATCTTCCAACCTCAAAATTGCCCAGTGCATGCGCTGACCTGTGTAACCGGGGATGCCACCGTCAGCGGTCGCCAGCTTCAGGTTTGCGGCGTCATTGGTGAGGAGGATCACCTTGGCGTCCTTGGCAGTGGGCATCACCTGTTTGATGTGGTCGTTGTACCACTTGACGCACACGCGAATGGCGCGATCATTGCGGTCGTTGGGAGACTCGCCCTTGTTCTGCTCCACATACGTGTGCCTGCGTATGGGGTGAGTGAGTGTGTGTGCGTGAGTATGCGAGTGTGTGTGGCGAACATGTTAGTCGTGTGTTAAACGCTGAGGGTACACATACATACACACAGCGAAGCAGTGGCATGTATCGGTAGAAATACGCATTGAAAGTACGCCCTACTTTGAATGTTCGTTGCTGTACACGTAGAAGTGGCGCTTCTTGTCCGAGAGCATGGCACGCACGCGGTTGTAGGCTGCAAGGCTGCGGTGCTTGACCTTCACACACAGTCATACACACACACAAATGCACGAACACAGGCACACAGACACGGACACACACAGACACACAGACACACAGACACACGGTCACACGGTCACATGCACGAACACAGGCACACAGGCGCCACACAGGCAAACAAGCATCATTCGTGGGCAGATGATGTGAGCGAGAGAAATGAGGTTGTGAAGCGCCGGCAGTGCCACCGCAGCTGGTGTCTTTTGACACCTTGATGCATGTGGGCAGTCATCACACCTCATCCAAAACGGTGGAGCAGATGATCACGTTCTTGATGGCCTGGTGCTCCAGCACATCCAGCTGGTGCAGGATGACGTTTGTGTCTGGCAGGATGATTGATGTTGGCTCCAACGTGTCTGGGTTGACGGTGCATGTCGCACATCCTGATTCAACACAGATTCCACGCATGCGAGTTGTGCGTGAGGATTGTGCGTGCGAGTTGTGCGTGCACGTTCCGAGATGATGAACACCACAGTGTGCATTTCCTTCAGACAGACCCTCAAGCACATTCGCAATCAGAGCGATACACACACACACACAATCACACACACACACGTAGCAAAAATGTACGCGATGCGTGTCTCTGCCTCCTTACCTTCTCTCTCTCCCTTGTCTCCCCATTCCCCCTCTCCACACTGTTCTTGCACTTGCAGTATCTCCACCAGCAGCATACCTTGGATGGAGCAGCCGATGTCATCACGGAGGTAGTGTTCCCTGCTCACCGTGAGCACGCGGCCGGACTTTGTCTTCCGAGCAAACTTCTTGGCTCGCAGCATGCTGCCTCTTCTCTCAAACCTGAATTCAGTCGTCGTAACTGATTTCAGTCACACTCCAACGCTGACACAGACACACGCACAACCAAACAAAGCAACACGCACAACCTTTGTTCCTCTCCTTCCTGCCTGTGGTGTGCTAGTTTGGAGGAGATGCGCGTTGTGGTGCAGCGTGTGGTGGATGAGGGTGTCACTGTTGTGTTGATGACGGATGACCACGTGGAAATCAAGTTCCCATTGGCCCTACTCCCAGGCACAATCACCGTGGGTGACGTGTTGAATATTGACATCTCCCACACCAACACAGGCCTCCTCCAACAGGTGTGAATGTGTGTCTGCTTGTGTGTATGCTTGTGTGTGAATGTGTGCGTTGTGTGAATGTGTGTGTGTTGTGTGAATGTGTGTGTTGTGCGCGTGGTGTTGAGTCCGTGCCTGGTTGTTTCCTTGTGGTTTTGTGCCACGTGTGATGTACTGGGTACCATATCGCAAGCAACTCTCAGTCCTCACCCCCCCCCCCGTTGTGGTTGTTTCTTCACTTGTGTCCGTGCCTTGTTCGTTTTTTTTTTTTTCGTTTCCCTCCAATCGGTGGCACTCATGTAGGTGCATGCGCTGCAAGCATCTCTGTTGGAGGACAACTGAACACAGGGGCAAGAGTTATTTCTTGCATGACCCCCGTGCACATCTCTGTCTGAGCTCTTCATACGTCGAGCCTGTCACAGTTTCAATTCTTAGTTGAGCCATCCCATCTGTACATACCAGTCCCTTGTCTGCCTCGCTTGATTTTCATTTGTGTGTCTTGACTTCCATCCCTCAAATCCCTTTTGAGCGGCTCTCCCATCAACTCTGTGCTTCGAGTTTGTTATTTGTTCTTCGTCTACCTCTTCGTCTACCGCTTGCTCCCATTCCTTGTCCTCCTCCCTTTCCACCACCTCTTTCCTGTTGCTTTCTTTCTCTTTCTTCGTCTCTCGGCGATATTGACGATTTGCGACCAGGCGTCTCCGCGCCTCGGCAGCCTCGTTTCAGCTTCAGCGTTCGTATTCATTCAGTTCAGGCCAGGCGGGATTCCGGCACCTGGTCTTGCGCCATGGCTTGCACCAGGCTGGCTCAGCGACCGCGCGCCGTGCTGGCGACCCTTTGTGCGCTCATCTTGCTCGTGGCGGCGTCTGCGCCTCACAACGACATGGACACGTCACGTGCAGATGTGGCAGGCCCAACAGCGCAAGTTCAGCGCCACGCCAACCTGGCATCGATGTCCGCACCGCACACAGCAGCCGACAGTCACCCGGCAGTGTTGCCAGCTGAGCCTCTCAAACCCGCGCAGTCACCAGTGCTACGACAGCAACATGGCCAGCAAGAGCAGCGGCAGCATGAGCAACAACAAGAGCCAGAACAACAACAGCAGCGAAAGCAAAGGGAACAGCAGCAACAGGGACGCGGAGCGCAACAATGGAGGCGACGAAGAGGAAGAACGAGAAGACGACGACAGCAGCAGCAGCAGCAGCAGCAGCAGCAGCAGCAGCAGCAGCAGCAGCAGCAGCGCCGCTTGGTGTCCAATGATGCCTGGTCGCCGTCCTTCAACGCCACCGCATACCGGGAGCGAGCGCGGCACATGTTCACGTTTGCGTACGACAACTACATGCAACACGCCTTCCCGCATGATGAGCTGGACCCGATCCACTGCCGCGGGCGCTCAGCAGACGCCGACCGCACCAACATCAACATCAACGACGTGCTGGGGAACTACAGCCTGACGCTGGTCGACACGCTCGACACGCTTGCCGTCATGGGCAACAGCAGCGAGTTTTGGCGGGCAGCGCGTTTGGCCATGGATACCGTCTCCTTTGACCGTGACACCACCGTGCAGGTGTTTGAAGCAAACATCCGCATGCTTGGCGGGCTTCTCTCTGCGCACATGCTGGCCACAACGCCTGCGTTTGGGCTGCACGACCCCATGTACGATGGCGAGCTGCTGCACATGGCCCGCGACCTCGCCACCCGCCTGCTGCCGGCCTTTGACGTGACAGCGTCTGGCCTTCCCTTCCCCCGCGTCAACCTGCGCTCTGGTCTTCCGCGTGGGGCGTTTTGGCGAAATGACACCAACACTGCCGCCGCAGGCTCCCTCCTACTTGAATTCGGAGCGCTCAGGTGAGGTGACAGCGGTGGAGCAGGGGCTTGTCTTCAGGGTTGGCTGGTTGGTTGGTTGGTTGGTGGTGTGAGCGAAAGGCATGCTGCCGTATGGTGGGGAGTAGTGTGTGCATATTTGAGAGTGAGAGGAGTCGGGGGGAGGTTATCTGAGGTTATCTGTGTACACATGCACGTGTGCACTTTGGAGATGGTTCATATGAGTGTCATGGCTGTCTGTTTCCGGATTCTTCAGCCGGCTGACGGGCGACCCCACGTTTGAGAGCGCCGCGCGCCGCGCCCTCCACGCCCTCTGGAGCTATCGAAGGTGCGAGCCAGTGTGAGTGTGAGTGTGAGTGTGAGTGTGAGTGTGAGTGTGAGTGTGAGTGTGTGTGTGTGTGTGTGTGTGAGTGTGAGTGTGAGTGTGAGTGTGAGTGTGAGTGTGAGTGTGAGTGTGAGTGTGAGTGTGATTGTGGGGTGCTGGTTTGTGGCTATACCCTCTCACTCACACACACACACACACTCATACATGCACGCACCACATTTACATACTGCTGTCTTCTCCTCTGTTCTCAACAGCGAGCGCACCCTTCTGCTGGGAAACACAATCGACGTGCACACGGGCCGGTGGATCAACACCATGTCGGGATTTGGTGCTGGCGTTGACAGTTTCTTCGAATACCTCCTCAAGGTCGCACACGCACACGCACAGACACAGACACACACACACACAGACAGACAGACACAGATACACACACACACACACGCACACACACACACAGACAGACACACACACAGACACAGACAGACAGACAGACACACGCACACACACATGGGTTGCTGGACTCACGGTGCACATGTGTACACGTCGAGTATTGCATGTTGTGTGCATCTACACGCATTTTTCAACGTCGACTTCCATATGCACACACATACACACACTTACACAACTACAAAACAAACTCATGTCACACGCACACGACAACCGTGCAAATACAACAGGGGTCCATCCTGTTCAAGGACGAAGGGCTGGCGTCGCTGTTTGAGACGGCGTTTGGAGCAGCACAGCACCGCACGCGCCTGCCCAATCTCCCGCTGTACGGACAGGTGGACATGTATTCCGGTCGCCTTGTTGCGCCGTGGATCGACAGCTTGCAGGCATTCCTCCCAGCACTCAAGGTGTGTGTGAATGTGTGTGTGAATGTGTGTGTGAATGTGTGTGTGAATGTGTGTGTGAATGTGTGTGTGAATGTGTGTGAAAGCACGATTGTGTGGATGGGTGTGCTTGAGTGCATGTGTGTGTGTGTTTGTTTGTGGTGTGTGTGTGTGTGTGGTTTCCTATTTACCATCGTCCTTCCGTCCTGCAGTGAATGTAGTCTGTCATGCCAAACATGTCTGTCCCACCTGTACGTCTCGCTCCCTCTCCCATTAATCACGACACCACCACCACCATCACCACCATCACCACCATCATCACCATCATCACCATGGCCGCAGGTGCTGCGGGGCGACGTGCGCGGTGCAGTTGTTGACCACGAGGTCCTGCACGCCCTCTGGCGCCGCTTCCACGCCATGCCCGAGCGATACAACTTCCGCACCCGCCAGCCAGACGTTACCACATATCCGCTGCGGCCAGAGGCGGTGGAGTCCACGTACATGCTCTACCGTGCAACCGGCAACACCTACTACCAGCGGGTTGGCGCAGATATGCTCGCAGACATCGAAGTACGTTGCATGCGCCCACACGTGGACTGTTGCAGTGTGGGCGTGTATACTTGGAACCGAATGTTTTCTTACGTGCTTGTGTGAGTTCGCGTGCATGTGTGTGTGTGTGTGCACGTTGTGAACATGTGCCTGAATTTTGTGTTTTGCTCCATTGTCCACGAGCGATGTATTTGCAATTCACGTGTGTGTGTGTGTGTGTGTGTGTGTGTGTGTGTGTGGGCTTTGTGTGATGTATGTGTGTGTGTGTGCATGTATTTCTGTACAGCGATACGCGCGTGTGCGGTGCGGATATGCGACGATTCACGACGTGCGCGTGATGTCGCACGAGGACCGCATGGAGAGCTTCTTCCTCAGCGAAACACTCAAGTCAGACACAACATGTGCACGCATAGGCAGGCCGGCAGGCAGGCAGGCAGTCACACACACACACACACAGACATATACAGACAGACAGGCAGACAGACAGACACACACACACACACACAGATAAATACAGACACACAGATGCGTACAAGCACACCCATCAGTGCGCGTTTGCGTTCTGCTGACCTTGTGCGTGTGCGTGTGCTCTCGTGCGTTGCGCACAGGTACTTGTTCCTGTTGTTTGATGACGGCAACGTTCTACACTCCTCAGGTTGGTTTGCCTACACATGCGCACCTTTGTATTGCATTGTGTTATGTTGTGTCGTGTTGTGTTATGTTGTGTTGTGTCACGTTCTCGGTGCTGTGCGGCTGTTGCCTGTCTATCGCTTCCTTCGACGTCCAATTTTCACTGCCACGGACCTGCTGTGCTCCCCACCCTCACCACACACTCACGGCCTGCTAACTTGATGTCGACTGCCAGGAACCCCAGCATATGTGTTGACGACGGAAGGACACGTGTTTCCCATCACCGCGGCCATGCAACGCCTGCCCCGCGCCAGCACCAGCACACACATGCACAACACAGCAGCAGGAGCAGGAGCAGGAGCAGTAAAACACGACAGCACTTGCGTTGCCGATGACTGTGCGTGCGACGATGCTTCTGGCGGTGACTGTGCTGGTGGTCGTGGTGGCAGCGGCGGAGACGGTGATGGCGATGATGACGACGACTGGTGGGCGTGGGGTGTGCCGCAGCCGTCACTCTCTGGCGTCCGGCATGGGAGCAGCAGGGCGCACCCGTTGCATCTCATTGCCAGCGACGCAAACGTAACGAGCAGCAGTGGTGGTGGTGGCCGTGAGGACAATAGGGTGGTACATGCAGGCATGTGCGAAGCGCTGACGTGGCAAGAGCAAGTGGTGCATCCCTTGCACCCGCACACGCTCGCCCTCATCAAGCAGCTAGCAGGGCTCTGATACGCTTGTTTGTTGTGTGTGTGTATGCGTGTATGCGTGTATGCGTGCGTGCGTGCGCGCGCGTGTGTGTGTTTGTTGCATGTGCGCGTCCACGTGTATGCGTGTGCGTGTGTGTCATCATCCTGTACCCTTTGTACACGCTGTCCGGTTGAGTGTGGGATCGTGAATGCGTTTATGGTCCTCATGTCTAAAATGTAACAGAGCAAGAGCAAGCCAAGTAAAAGGCGGTGTGGCTGGTCGAGCTTCGTCTCATAACGAACGCCCCATGCGCAGGGGGAGAAAAGGAAAGAAAGAAGGGGGAGGGGAAGCAGTCAGGGGAAAGAGAAGATCGTAGAGGGGCGAGCAAGGGGAGGTGAAACAACAAGCACACACACACACACACACACACACACACACACACACACACACACACACACACACACACACACACACACACACACACACACACACAAGTAAACACCAAGGGCGGGGGGCAAACGCAGCAGAGAAGGCAAGCAAAACAAGGGGAAGAAAGGCAGACATGCGCTAGTGTAGTGGGGTGGCGCAGACGTACGACATGCCACCGTACGTGTTTTGTGCTTGGATCTCGAATCCCGCGGCCTCTAGTGCCGTGATGACGAGGCTGGTGGTGATGCGCAGCTTGGTGAAGCCACCAACGTGCTGCGTCCACGCCTGCGAATCGGCATCAAACTGGTGGAAGATGTCGTTGACGTGGATGTGCTCTGGCTCAAACTCCAGGAAGCACGTGTGGATGCGGGTTGGGCTGCTGCGCACGGGGATGACGCGCGCAGGACCGACCAGCTCCACCTCTTGGTCACGGTAGGAGAGGAGGAGCATGCCGTCCTGGCGCAGCTGTGGATAAGCAGAGGCCAGGAAGGCCTCCACTTCTTGGATGGAGCCGAGGTGGGAGAGCGTATCACCCATGCACGTGATGACGGCGGGCTGTGTCGCGCCGTCGGATCCCTCCGTCCAGATGGCTGGGTTCATGATGTCGCCGCGAGCAGCAGTCACGGACAGCCCCAAGTCTGAGGCGTGCTGCGCCATCTCGTCGAGGAGCTGCTGGCACAGGTCGACGCCACGCACGCGCATGCCAAGCTTGGCCAGCGCCAATGAATGCAGCCCACTACCGCAGCCGAGATCCAGCGCATCGGCGCCTGGGGCAGTGAGATGGAGAAGTGTGTGTGTGTGTTGTACGGTGATCAAGATGTGGGGGTGTGAGGTGCAAGGTGTAAGACGTTAACGCACATTTACAGCTTGGATTGGCAGGCAGATGGAGATGCAGACGTGCGGGAGGTCAATGGAGCAGACACGCTGTAGTTCACCCACATGCACAACAGCGAGAGACATACATATACACACACTGCACGCACGCAAAGAGAGAGAGACACGCACGCAGAGAAACACACACACTGTACACACACACACTGCACACACACACACACACGCACTGCACACACACACACACACACACACACACACACACACTGCACACACACACACACACAGCACACAGGTACACACTGAACGCGCACCGGCCAGGTCCGGGATGGCTGGGCACAGGTCTTTGAACCGCTGCACCTCTGTGTCCACCGCAGCACCAAAGTCGTCTCCAATCAAGCTCCACGTGTAAAAGGGCGCAAGCACCGTTGCATAATGTTCCTCCATCTTGAGGCAGAGTGGTGTTGTGTGTGTGTGTGATGTGAGAGAAGATAAGCAGAGAGGAAAGTGAAAGAGCAGTGTGGAAGGAGTGAGTCGCGGTTGTTGTTGTTGGCGAATTTCGTCGATTTGCCAATTGCACCCCTGCAAATTGTAAATGCGCGCGCGCGTGTGTGTGTGTGTGTGTGTGTGCAGTTTTTTCCTTGTGCTGCTGTTGTTGTGTTTGGATTTACACACCCGCCCCCCTCTCCTTTTCTTGTCACTCTCGTTTCCTGCTTCTTGATTGATGTGAAGCCCTCCAGCATCATGGCACAGGCCCATCCACACTCGCACTGGTCGTCCATGGACGAAGAGCTGAACATGCGCAGCCGCCACGCACGTGCGGCAAGGTTCTGCAGCTTCGTTTATTGGGACAGGGACAAGGGCAAGGACACGCACCCAGGCACCCTCCAGCACCCAGGTGTGATCAAACGAGCTGCACTGCGCGCTCCTGTGGGTGGACTGATGATGCACGGGATGCGTGTATGTGTACGCATGTAACAGACATGCACTCACATGCACAGAGGGATGGACACAGACAAACAGACATGCACACAGACAGACAGGCATGCACACAGACAGACAGACATGCACACAGACAGACAGACATGCACACAGACAGACAGACATGCACACAGACAGACAGACATGCACACAGACAGACAGACATGCACACAGACAGACAGACATGCACACACACGCACGCACGCACACATGCAGCTGCGCACACATGCACGCACGCACAGACAGACAGACAGACACACACACACACACACAAGCACACACACACACACACACGAGCACACATGACCGACCGCGCGTGCTGACTGAACACTATTTGCATTCCACTTGCATGTACAGTGCGCTCGAAAGACATGGCTTTGTACCTGGCAACACACAAACGCAGCAAATGCCGAGGTGTTAAGGTCATGCACGACCGAGCACAGTTTCGGCTGGACCTGTTGAACGGAAAAGTCATCCAACCATGTGGAAACCTCAACTGCTACATGTGCCTACGAGCTGCAAGTGCGTGTGTGTGTGCGTGCGCGTGCGCGTGTGATGTGCCTGCGTGTGTGTTGATGTCGAGCACATCTGGCATGCCATAGTGCACAGTGCCCCCTTCCTGCTCAGCGTCTGTGTGGTTTCCTCTACCCGTGTGACGCCTCCACGATTTATGTGGCTCTCGTCGCACTTGGCTGTCTCTCTCTCTCTCACATACACACGCACGCACACACACACACACACACACACACACACACACACACACACACACACACACACACACACACACACACACACACACACACACACACACACACACGCACACGCACGCACGCACACGCACACACACACTCACTCATGCCCACACACGCCTGCTTCCTGTCCCCTCCCTTCGACTACGCCATCTCTGTCGACAGGCATCAAGAAATGCAAGCTGTGTGGCGTGCTCATGTGGCAGCAAAGTGCCGGCAAGCACAACTGCGACAATCCTCAGCAGCCCAAGAAGAAGCGAGCCAAGCGCTCCCGCGTGGTAGCGGCCGGTGGCGCGGCCGCCGCGCGCATGCGCTCTCCACACCACCCGGCTGCGCACCACCAAGCTGGGGTTGACAACACTGGTAACGATGCCGTGCATGAGCATGAGGACGCAGAGGGCAGCGGGCAGTCCCACCCTGAAACAAGCCCGCGCGCATCATTCGAGGGAGCAGAGGACGAGGAGTGCACCCCAGCAGCCGAGATCCAGAAGGCCCGTGAAGGCATCAACAAGGCTGTCAAAGCGGTACGTACGCGCACGACGCTATCACGTCTACGTGTTTTGTGTTTTGTGTACGTATGTATGTGTGCATGTGAGCGTGCATGTGTTAGTGCCTTGCTCCTTTTGGCCATCGTTTGCCACCCCTCCCACTGCCCTCACTCCCCAACCATGCACCTGCACGCATGGTGGTGTCACAGATTCGCAGCTACTGCGAGCAAGTCCCCGAGATTCAGGCGTTTCTCGGCATCTGCATCAACAAGCGCGTGCAGACGTTTGCCTTCAACGTATGCCCCATCAACACGGCGGACCAGAAAAAGAGTCCAGATGTCTTCCACCTCCACGACGGCAAAGTCCTGCCTGGCCGTAAGTTGCGTGCTTGTGTGCGTGCTTGTGTGTGCGTGCGTGTGCATGTGCGTGTGCGTGTGCATGTGCGTGTGCATGTGCGTGCGTGTGCGTGCGCGTGTTGCAAGTTATGTGTGCATGTGCCCATGTGTTGTAATGATTTGGTGTAGTGGTGTTGTGGGCTGTGGACTGTGGACTGTGCAGCCAATACATTGGGAGTGCCCCGCCTGCCATCATCTGCCCAAATTTTTCGGTCTACTGACCGCCTTTGTTCTTGTGTGCCCGCTCTCGGCTGCTGTGCATTTGTTCCAGCACCAACCGACCCCAAGGCATACGACACGCTGTGCGAGACGGTGGCTGAGGCAGACGCCCTGAGGAAAGAGCTGGATGCGCAGAGGAAAGACCCAGACGCCGACTCCGACGATGATGACCTTGCTCAGCGTGCAGCAGCTGCGAGAGACGTGCGTGTGTGCGTGTGTGCGTGTGTGCGTGTGTGCGCCTGTGCGTGTCAGTGCCTGTGTGAATGCACAACATACATGCTGCTCTTTTTCTCCCTGTCTCTCTGTCTCTCTTTTTTTTTTTGTACCGTCTACCGTCCCACTCTCTTTCTCCCCCCCAAACACTCACTCCCTCTTCATCGTGCATCATCCATCGTACATGTCCTGTTCAACATTCAACACACCAGCTCGCCGTTCGGCACACCGTGACGCGCGCGCTTGTGCAGTACCACCGACTGTTCAAGACAGACCGGTCCATCCTCGACCGTACGCGCAAGGCCACGCAGCGCAACACCACGATACTGTGCGAGTGCCACCCAAGTTCCCTGGAGCGCATGCCCAAGCCCTCCCGCCGCTCCCGCCGCCAGCTGCACGGCGCGGCCTCACCGCCCACACCGGCCGCAGCAGCAGCGGAGTCGCCCGCGCCGCTGAGCATGGTCAACCCGCCAGACCAGGAGCTGCCGCCACTGCCCGCGGCGCCGGCACCGGCACCGGCACCCTCCTCCTCCTTGTCGTCGTCGTCGTCGTTGTCGGCCCAGACCGTGCTGCACATGACGGGGGCGCGGGCGATGATGCGAACGCCTTTCTCAGCAGACACAAGGACTGCCGACCTCGATGTTTACCATCCTCATCACCATCAGCAACAGCAGCAGCCACCACAACAACATTATACCCACCAGCAACAGCAACAGCTTGGTGGTGGTGGTGGTGGTGGCCGTTTCCAGGCGCCTCCGCCCCACATGCATCCAGTGCCCCAATTTACGCAGAGCGTGCCGCCTGTGCATCATCACCATCATCATCATCAGCAGCAGCAACAGCATCAGCATCATCCCTCGCAGCAGCAGCATCATCCCTCGCAGCAGCCGTGGCCCATGATGCACCCGCAACACCCGCAGACACAGCTGTACAGCCACCAGCAGCTGCCAGCCACAACACAGCCCAGGCAGTCTGCTCCCGTTGGTTCGTATCTGCAGCCATCAGCGGCGCCCACACCGCACATGCCACCGGCATTCACCACATACTCGACGCACGCGCCGCCGCCGCCTCTCACGGCTGCGTCGCCGTACAATCCCCCGCACTGCACGTTTCAACCCGTGCCCGAACAACAACCTCCTCTGCTCGAGTACCAGCACCAGCAGCACTTGCAGTACCCGCATCAGCAGTACCAACAGCCGGCACAACAACACCAACACCAGGCACAGCTTCACCAGCAGCAACAGCAACAACAATCACAGCAACAACAACGACAACAACGGCAGCAACAACAGCATCAGCAGCAGCAGCCACACCTTGTACAGTTGCCAACACAACAAGCACAGCATTACTTGCCCCAGTCGCAGGAGTACGTACAGGCGGGTGTGCCCGAGCCGCGGCAAAACCATTTCCAAATGCCGCCGCCGCAGCCGCAGCAGCCGCTGATTGCACCCCAGCAGCACCCACAGCAGCAGCAGCAGCAGCAGCAGCAGCAGCAGCAGCCCGTGTTGTCGTCGTCATCGGCGGCAACGTCGCTCGGCGCTGCGTCAGTGACCCAAGCTGGCGTGCTCACCACCGTCCCGACGGTTGGCGCCGACGCGTTCACTGGCAACGACGATGCGCATGCGCCCCTCACCAGCGCAGGCCAGCGCTCTGTGCTTGACAGCGCCAGCGAGTACGTAGCGCCCCCGCTGTCGTCGTCAACAGAGGCGTTTGACTCCCTGCACATCCCAGCACGGTCGACGGGCGAAGATGTCATGTGCGCACCGGCACACATTGCTGCTACCGCCGCGGCTGCTGATGTTGATGTTGATGTTGATGCTGATGCGCAGGGTGGCGACGCTGAGGCGCCTCTCTTGCAGCACAGCATCGGTGCACCCTTGCAAAACGAAACACAGCAACAGCAGCAACAACAGCAACAACAGCAGCAACAACAGCAACAGCAGCAGCGGCAACAGCAACAACAGCAAACTGGGGAGCAACCGCCCCATTTGCAATCGCCGCTGCCGCTGGTTGCGTCGCCTGCGCCGCTCGCTGCAAACGGCGACGATGGGCAGCGCCGGGACGGATTTGATGTGGGCGAGGATGGAGACGCAGCAACCTCCGCCCATGCTGGGACCACCACCACTACTACCACTACCACCAGCACCACCGCCGTTGGCTCCGGTGACGCAAAGGGCAACGACAGTGGTGGCAGCAGCGTCAACATCAGCGCCATGCACGGCATCGGCAGCGGGGTGGAAGCAACTGACATGCCGTGCGAGCATGAAGGCAACACCCTTGCTGGCGAGCACACACGCGCGAGCGGAGACAGCGCTGGTATGTTTGAAGGTGAAGATGATGACCTCTGATGGTTTAGTGGATTGGAGGGGTGGATTGTTCCGTAGCCTGATGAACAGGAGTGCCCTTTCTCGTTTGGGCACAGTGATGCCAGCAGTGCTGACCGTTTGTGTGAATGCTCGCTGCACTGCACACTGAGTATATATATGCTGTAAGTTTGAACGATATGTATTCTTGTTGTTTGGTTCTGCTTCTCTCAGGGGTTGAATGTGTGTGTGCGCGTGCGTGTGCGTGTGTACGTGTGCGCCCGTGCGTGTGCGTGTGTACGCGTGCGTGTGAGAATGTGAAAGCGAGTGCGTGAAAGAGAGGGAATGTACGATGCGACCAAGCAAGCGTGACGTGCTTTTGTATGTGCCTCAGGTTGTGCCCAGCGTGCGTTGGGGTTTCACCGCTCCATGCTGGGTTGTGTCTTGTTTCCTCTTTTGTGTGTTGTGTTGTGGAGTGGATGATTTGCGGTTTCTGATGGACCGATATGCGAGCTGATCGATGTGCGTTTATACGTTATATGCGTTGGCGGACGTTGTTGTGTTTGGTTTCAATAAACGCCCCCGGCCCTGGCAGCATTTAGCGGGAGTTGAGACGTGTCTTCGCAGGGAGCGGAGGGCATCATTGTGGGATAGTTAACACAGGACAGAAGTGAACCAGCCCAGACAGGAAGCGCGTGAGACGATCATCATCATGCAGTGTGACCAATGTGGGCGACTAAGCAAGCAGCCAAGAAACCGCCGAGCGAGCAAGCAGCCAAGCAAGCAAGCAATCGAGCAAGCCAGCGAGCAGCCTTTGTTGCTTTTACTGGCTGCCGGACTGGGTTGCTTGCTGTTGCTGTTGTTGCTGCTGCTGAGCGTTGGTCTTCGCATGCTCATCTGCGTCGTTCTTCTCCTCGTCTTCCTCTTCGTCTTCTTCGTCGTCACCCTCTTCTGCCATGAGCTGGCGCGCCCGCAACATGGCCTCGCGCATATTGTAGTGCTCCTTCCGCTTCTTCATGAAGTTGACGTGTTTCTCTGCCGGTGCCAGCAGCACGCAAGCAACACAGGAGGAGAGCAGCGCGTTGCGCAGCCAGTTTGCCGGTGAGGGGGAGGAGAAACAGGTTTGTGTGTCAAGGGAGGGGGGGGGGAAGAATCAGGTTCGTGCGTCAACGCATGCAACAGGCGAACGATTGATTTGGGTGAGGGTTAGGGGGGGGGGGGTTGTGTATGAGTTGTGTGGTCTGTGCTGGGCCGAGCACTTTGTGCAACAAAAGCGGGCGTGATCTCGTACGTACTCTCTGTCGTCTCTTCGACTGCGAATTCCTCTTCGGGTGCCTCGGCGGAGATGACGGGAATGTTGGAGACGATTGGCGACTCGCCCTCTACCATGTTGCGCACAAGGCGAGTGAGTGAGTAAGTGAGTGAGTGAGTGCGTGAGTGAGTGAGTGAGCGTGTGAGTGAGTGAGTGAGTGAGTGAGTGAGTGAGTAAGTGAGTGAGCGAGTGAGTGAGTGAGTGTGTGTGCGTGTGTAGTGTGAGTGAGTGAGTGAGTGAGTGAGTGTGTGTGTGTGTGAGTGCGAGTGTGTGTGTGTGTGTAGTGTGAGTGAGTGAGTGAGTGTGTAGTGTGAGTGATGAGTGAGTGAGTGCGTGTGCAGTGTGAAGCTGTGTACATGTTCGAGTTGGTGCGTGTTGAGTTGAATTCGCTTGGATGTCCTCTGATCACGCACCAAGGTTCAGGCTGGGCACGTCATCGTCGTCATCTTCTTCGTGATCCATTTCAAGGGGAGGCTCGTAAGGTGTGTTTGGTTCGTCAATCTTCATGTGGCCATAGTCCTTGTCTGCTGGGTGGTACGTCTCGCGGATGTTGTCCTCATCCCACTTGACACCAGGCTTACTGTGATAACCACGACAAATAGGCAAGAGAGAGCAAGAGTGCGAGCGCAGGCGCAGGCGTGAGCACATTTGAGGAAACAGAACCGGAGAAACACATGCTTGCGGGCGATTCACACTGCGTGTTACTACGCCTTTGTATGTACGCGCACGGGTGCGCTGCGTGGCTGTGTGCATGTATTAGGCATCCACAAGCACAAGCGCATCGACCTCATTGTTGGTCGTTGCGTTGGCGTTGTTGAATCGAATCACAACTCTTGGCGTTGTTGAATTGAACCACTCTTGGCTTCCTTCCTCCTTCGTCTTCCTTTCCTTCTGCTCCGCGTCTTCTGCTTTGCTTCTGTTTGCTTCTGCTTCCGTGGTTCGCGTTGCCGTCGTCTTCGTCGTTGGTGGTGTGTGTAGATAATTGGTTAATATTTTCATACAATCCTCCACAACCACACCTCCTCTGCCCTTGTTGTGCTGTTGTGCTGTGCAGAGATCCCAACAACACCACCTTGTTGTCGCACCCCCCACTCTTTCCTCTATCGTCCATTCCAGTGTTGCCTGTGGTTGGTTATCATTGGCCAAACCAAGCCAAGCACCGCTTTCCCTGCCCCCCTGCCTTCCTTTCTGGACAACCGGCAGGATGAGGTGCGCGCTGTGCCGCGCGAAATCGCGTGGCGTCACGAAAACGCTGTGCCAAGACTGCTACTTCATCAAGGAGGCATTCCAGCGCCATGGCTCACACACCATGCGGCGTGCAATCCGACAAAGCATCAAGGACATCACGGCGCCTCCTTCTTCAACATCTGGAACACCACACGCACGCCCTCACCCGGTATCGATGCCTGCTTCCTGATTGCTTCTTGCTTCCCTGTACACCGTCGTAGTGCTGCTGCTGTTCGCTGGTGTGCGTTTCAGTCCTGCCACTTCATGTCACAGCGTCATCACATCAGCACAAGTGCACCTTGTTACTGTTGTTTGTACATTTTGCGTGCAGCTATCCACAAGTGTACACACCTGGCAGCATGTCTTTGCTGTGTTTCCTGTACCCTCTGCTCCCTTCTCTCCGTTTCACTGGCTGTCCAGTGTCACACTTGTCCACTGCAACCACGACCTCAATCGTAGCCTGGACTGTGTTCCTCAATGCGTTGTCGCATACTCACGCTGCCAAATTCTTGTGATGCTGTGGTCCGTTCCACGTGTTGCTTATGCTTGCTTCTCTTTCCCTCCATTTGCTTTCTGCTCTTCTCTCTTTGCCCCCCCCCCCTGACTACTCTGCTCCTGCCACACAGCAGCCACGACAGGCGTTCATGGACCCGGCCGAGGACCACGCCGTTGTGCCAGCACAGCGGGCCACCGTGTCCTCTGCCGCTACAGCTGCCGTTGCACGCGATGACGCCCGCATCAACCCGGTGGGCGACAGGTCACGGCGAGCGCAGACGCTGTCCCCAGCAAGCAGCGGCCAGTACGTGCCGAGCGTTGGTGCCGGGTCAACACCCAAGCGAACAACGCCACAGTCTGGCATGTCGCCGTCCATCACCCCGACGCCTGGCTCGCGTGGCGAAAAGGCGTCCTTCCTCGATATGCCCACGCCCAACTTCACGCCCATCGGCTCTCCGGCCACCGCCAGGGCGGCAATCCGCAAGACGGACTCTGTTGTTGTGAAGCGCGGCACAAGCTCGCCCGTCACCGTGGAGCGGGAGGTTGTGGCCGAGCCGGAGGAATACATTGCCAAGCACACGTTCAGGGCAACACAGCCCATGCAGCTGTCGGTGAACAAAGGCGACGTTGTTGTGGTGACCAGCAAGCTCAAGAGCGGGTGGTGGCAGGCCACGCTGCAAGACGGCACGAGCGGCTGGCTGCCCGGCAGCTACCTCAAGCCCGCAGACGAGGTGCTGAAGGAGACGCTTGCCTCTGCACAGAACACGCAGTCGCCCCCACACCGAAAGGGCAAAGCCGAGACGAAGGGCGCAGCGCAGCAGCCAGAGAAGGAAGGTGGCAGCGTGGCGTCCTCGCCCTCGTCTCCCACGGGCAAACCCAAGCGCAGCGCGTCTGTGTCTGACTCGCACGACCTGTACGTGATCAAGCATCCGTTTGAGGCGCGCAGAGAGAAGCAGCTCTCGCTTCCGCGCCGCGGGTTTGTATTTGTCCGCGCGCGCAAGCAGAGCGGGTGGTGGCTCGGTGATCTCCTGGGCAATGACGGCAAGACTGTGCTTGCCTCGGGCTGGTTTCCGGCAGGGTATGTGACCAAGGCTGAGGACCCAGCCACCCGCACCGTCGTTCTTCGCAAGGAGCCAGGCCAGCGTCTTGGCATCGGCCTCACTGGCGGCAAGGTGTGTGTATGTGTGCGTGTGTGTGCGTGTGTGTGTGCGTGTGTGTGCGTGTGTGTGCGTGTGTGTGTGCGTGTGTGTGCGTGTGTGTGCGTGTGTGTGCGTGTGTGTGCGTGTGTGTGTGCGTGTGTGTGTGCGTGTGTGTGCGTGTGTGTGTGCGTGTGTGTGTGTGTGCGTGTGTGTGTGGTGTGATGTGGTGTGTGTGTGTGTGTGTTCTCTCCACGTTTGCTCTCTTTTCTCCACAATCTCGCTTTTACAAGCCCTCACCTGTGTACCAACGTTCCGCGCTTTGATCCCTTTACACACACGCTCCCTTGACCACCACCAACACAACCACCACCTCCCCTGCCGCCTGCTGCCTGCGACATTTTGTAGGACTCCGTGACGGGCCACTTCTCCATCTTCATTGGGCAGGTGCTCGGCAACTCCATTGCTGGCCGAAACGGACAGCTCAAGTGCGGCGACCTCATCCTCTCCGTCAACGGAGGTGCAGCCGTGGTGGTGGTGGTGGTGGTGTTTGTTATTGATGGTTGAGGGGTGGGCATGGTCGAGTGATTGATTGTTCACTGCGGTGTGTCAGCACCCCGGTTTGCCAAACGCCTCCTCCCAATGTCCAGATGTTCTCGTGACACGTTCGTTTTTTCCATCCAACTGCTTGCTTATGTGCCCGCTTGCATGCCTGCCCACTTGCCCTGTGCCGTCCCCACACTACCTGCATTTCAGCGTCGTTGGACGGGCGCAGCAAGCAGGAAGCGCTGAAGCTGCTTGACACGCTGGACGACGAAGTCACGTTTGTTGTCCGCCACGATGACGCCATGCGCGAGTATCTCGAGAACCAGCAGCAGTCGCGCCGCGCTAGCGAGCTCAAACTCAACGTGCCGCCAGCTGAAGAGCAACAGCAGGAGCAGGAGCAACAACAGGGCAAGGAGAGTGATGGTGTCGGCGCTGAGAAAGAGTCGGCCGTCAATGGTGCACCCGCCACGTCGCCGTCGCCAAAGGTCGAGGTGCGCATGCGAAACCTGCGCTCAGCGCGTGCCGTGTCTGAGGGTGGCCGCCCCAAGACGGTAGACTTCAGCATGCAGCCTGTGCAACCACGGCAGAAGCCCGTACAGGAGATGCAAGTTCTGCTCACCAAAGACAGGGGTGCTCCACTTGGGTTTGGTGTTGCTGGTGGCATGGACCCCAGCGGAAACTCAAAGCCAATCACCATCCGCCGAGTGAGTTTTGTTGTGTTGTGTTGTGTTGTGTTGTGTTGTGCGCGCTTGCGCCTGCGATTGTGGGGACGTCTTTGTGTGTCTGTGGGGATGTTGGGTTTCCTTGTTGACCGTGCATTTGCCGTTGAGGTCGCTGACGTCCCTTGTTCTCATTCACTCGCCCTTGCTCTCGTGCCATCATCCCGCAGCTTGCGCCCAACAGCGCAGCGCAGCGTGCAGGGCTGCTCGTGAAAGACGTAATCCAGTCCATAAACGGCGTCTCCTTTGCCAATTCAACACACGCCGACGCCGTGGCAGCACTCAAGGTACACCAGCGGGCGCCTGCTGTGCTCTGTGCGTGCACATGCTTGCTTGCGTGCGTGCGTGCGTGCGTGTGTTCATGCTTGTGTGCTTGTGCTTGTGTGCATGTGTTGGCGTTCATGCTTGAACTTGGTGAATGTGTGGGTGCGCTCGCCCGCTGCCGTTTCTGCCACCCCTCCCCTTCACTGCACACTGTGTTGATATTTGGTGTGAGTCATTTCTCCGCTTTCGCCTGCGCCGCGCCACACTTGTCGCTCACATCACAAATGACCACTCGCCAACGCAACAGGACCTTGCCCAGCAAGAGGAGCTTGAGTTTACGGTACAGCGGCGTGTGCGGTCGCGCACGCGGCATGAGACGTGGTCGTATGCGCCGTCGGCCTCCCGCCCGCGCGCAAGGAAGGGCAAGGAGGAGCAGCTCAGGCGCGACGAGGCCGAGTTTGAGCGAAGATGGAGCCAGCACGAGGTGAACAGAGAGCGCCAGTGGTGGCTTGGGTAGTGTGGTGCGTGGTTATGGGTTGTATGGTGGCTTGGGTTGTGCGGTGTTGTCTTACAACTGTGTTGCTTGCTTGGGATGTGCGGGGGTTGCCTGTCTGCATTTGCCTGTCTGCATGGGTGGTTGTGCACATGCTCACACGCCACCACCTTTTCCCTCCTCCATGGCGACCACGTCTCTGCCGGAGTCAGGACTCGCTGGTGTCGCGCGAATCACTGCTTGAAGCGCAGCGTGAGGCCGTTCGTCGGGAGAAGGCCCGCAGTATGTCGGGCTCCTCTCTCGGCTCAACAGCCACCGCAGCCACAGCCGCAAGCAATGCAACTAGCCCTGCTCAGGTGCATATGTGCATGTGTGCATGTGTGTATGTATGTGCGTACCTGTGTGTACGTGTGTATCTATGTGCGTGCATGTGCATGTGTGTATCTATGTGCGTACCTGTGTACACGCGTGTGCGTGTGTGTTCGTGTGTATCTCCGCCCTTCTCCCCCTTTGTCTTTCTCTCATTCTTTCTTTTGCACCCACTCCCTTACATCGCTTCCCCCCTGTCCCCCATCTCTGATCAGGAGGTGCAGCTGCGCACGAAACGTGGCCGCAGCGGCGTGGATGCCGCCTCCCTCAGTGGCGCTGTGCTCTCGGGTTCAACGGACGTGTTTTCCCAGGACGACGACAATAACGCAGAGGCAATCAGCGAAGAGCCAGAGCAGGCATCAGAAGCAAAAGCAAAGGATCAGAAGACTGATGGCCCGCAAGAAGCAGCCTTAGCACCACCAACATCATCATCGCCAGCAGCGGTTGAAGAAGGGGAAAGCAAGGAAAAGGAAGACGAGGAAGAGGCAGAGCAAGATGCTTCCGCGTATGGCTTTGCTGAGGATGGCAATGCCGACGAAGGAGACGGGAACGAAGCAGCAGCGAAAGAGGACGCGCCCAAGAGTGAAGAGGACGTGAGCACGGGAGAAGCAGAAAGCAAGAGAGAGGAGGACGCTGCTGCGCGGACGGCAATTGCTGTTGCCGCGTCAGAGGCAAGCGGTGAGGGTGAGGGTGGGGGTGTGAGTGAGGCGCTCAAGGCCGGGGACGTGTCCCTGCCCACGGATGCACCGCCGCCACTGCCAGAGAGCGACAGCCAAGATGTTGAGCAGGGCCAACCTGATGACAGCACAGGGCAGCTGGACTTGACGCTGCCATCGGACGCGCCGCCACCTCTGCCTCCAGTCAACGACGAGAGTGAGCAGGACAAGGAAGACGAGCCCGTGGGCAGTGCTGAGCAGACTGCTGATCAGCCGCATATGCGCGAGGAAGAGACTGTGGAGGTTCAAAATGAGGAAGAGGAGCGCGATTTGGAACTCCCCGCACCGCCGGCCATCCCTGCCGAGGCACCGCCACCACTGCCACAGGAGGAGGAAGAGGAGGAAGAGAAGGAAGAGGAGGAAGAGGCACAGGAAGAAAAGGCGCAGCAGCAGCAGCAGCAGCAAGAGCAAGAGCAGCAGCAAGAGCAAGAGGAGAAGCAAGAGCAGCAAGGGCAGCAAGAGGAGCTTGTTGCATCGCCGCCTGTCCCTGCCGAGGCGCCACCACCGCTGCCACAGGAGGAGGAAGAGGAGAAAGTGGCGGAGGAGCAAACAAGTGACTCGCAGCCAGCCGACGCGGAAGAAGCACAAGAGACTGACGTGCCAGAGCTGCCAGCTGAGGCGCCGCCTGCACTGCCGGAGAGCAACGACAATGAGCAGGAGCACAAGGAGGGAGAGGAGGAGGAGGAACAAGATGAGCAGCAGCAGCAGCAGCAGCATCAGCCACGGGAGGAAGAGGAGCAGCAGCTAGAGGAGGCAACTGATGAGACGCCTGCTGAGGAGCCAACACCACCGCTTCCAGATCACGCACCGCCGCCGCTCCCCGCAGATGAACCGCCCGTGTTGCCTGATGACGCTGCTGAAGACCCAGCTGAGCAACAGGCGGAGGAGACAGTGGAGGAGAGAACAGACGAGGAAGACCACTCTGCAGTACCTGTGCCGCCTTTGCCAGCGCAAGCACCGCCCCCGCTTCCCCAGGATGATGCCCCACAGGCTCAGCCAGAAGAAGAGGAAGAGGAAGAGAATGAGGAAGAGAATGAGGAAGAGAATGAGGAAGAGAATGAGGAAGAGAAGGAGGAAGAGCAGGCGGCAGTTGGTCACCAGCAGCAAGAAGAGGAGGAGACAGTTGCCCAGCAGTCACAGTCTGCTGCTGATGACGTGGCAGCGCAAGCGGCGGAAGCACCACCTGCAAGTGACGTGACGTCACCTGTGCCACCTGTACCGGCCGAAGCACCGCCACCACTGCCACCGAGCGTGGAGAAGGAGGAGGAGAAGGAGGAAGAGGAGGAGGAAGAGGAGGAGGAGGAGGAAGAAGAAAAGGAGGCACAGGCAACAGCGGCGCAGGGTGAGGACAAGGTGGGCATCGAAGCACGAGACCACGAGCAGAGCGACGGCGAAGCTGATGGCACACAGCAAGCGACCCAGGGGGCTGATGCGCAAGAGTTGCCAGCACCACCTCTGCCTGCAGAGGCGCCGCCACCACTGCCTCAAGCTGCCGATGAAGATGAGAAGGGTAGCGAAGCTGAGGACGATCGCGAAGAGAGTGAGGTGCCAGAGCTGCCAGCTGAGGCGCCACCTGCACTGCCGGAGAGCAACGACAATGAGCAGGAGCACAAGGAGGGAGAGGAGGAGGAGGAACAAGATGAGCAGCAGCAGCAGCAGCATCAGCCACGGGAGGAAGAGGAGCAGCAGCTAGAGGAGGCAACTGATGAGACGCCTGCTGAGGAGCCAACACCACCGCTTCCAGATCACGCACCGCCGCCGCTCCCCGCAGATGAACCGCCCGTGTTGCCTGATGACGCTGCTGAAGACCCAGCTGAGCAACAGGCGGAGGAGACAGCGGAGGAGACAGCGGAGGAGCAAGCAGACGAGGAAGACCACTCTGCAGTACCTGTGCCGCCTTTGCCAGCGCAAGCACCGCCCCCGCTTCCCCAGGATGATGCCTCACAGGCTCAGCCAGAAGAAGAGGAAGAGGAGGAGAAGAAGGAGGATCTGAAGCCGCAGCAAGAGGAGAAGAAGCAAAAGGAGACGCAGCAGGAGGCAAAGGAACATGAGGAGCAGCAGCATGATGACAGCTCTGCCCATGTGAACGGCGGCACTGTGACGTCGGCGAGTGCACCAGATGTACCCCAGCATGTTGAAGGTGGCGACAAGGCCTCGTTATCTGCTGGTGTTACGTCTTCGTCGCCACCACCTTCTTCGCCCATGTCCTCTGTGCCAGCGACGCCTGGTGCCGGTGACAGCGCCGTGGCGTCCCCTCGTTCGCGGCTGAGCAAAGAGGAGCGGGAAGCGCGGCGCAAGGCGCGCCAGGAGGAAGTGCGCAGGCGAGCAGCCGCCTTTGTCCAGTGAGTTTTGTGATTGCCTGTTGGAATGGCTGTGTGGGTGACTGTTGGAATGGCTGTGTGGGTGACTGTGGGTTGGTCATTGGACCAGCGACTGCCAGCCAATGGCGCACATGGGTTTGACACAACGCTCGCTCGCTCACACCCACACCCCCACAAACCACTTGCAGGAAAGTGACCGACGACAATTAGTGAATATCATCGACTACTTTTCCGTATTGTGCGTGTGTGACGTGTTTGGCTCTTTTCTTCTCTTCATCGTCGTGTGTGTCCTTCTTCTTCTTGCACCTCTGTCCGCGCCGCTCAATCCACCAACTGAACCAACTGCCGGACCAACCTTTGACGATGGAAGTGTTCCAAGTGTACATCAAGCAGCAACTGCCGCAGTACCTTGCGTCGCTGCCCATCCCTGCGACGCTGGATGGCTACTTGGAGTTGACGCAGGAGGAGTGGCTGCAGATTGCTCCTTTGTTCTCCCTCATCTTTAGCATGATTCTCTTGATCAGTATCCAGTTCTTTGTTGGCGCACCATCCAGCTCTGCACTCAATACAGCAGGCCATGAAGCAAAAGAAGTGCGCAAACTGCAGAAGAAGACTGCTTTCTGCCGCTGCTGGCAAAGCAAGAAGGTGGGGTACCGAGCACAAGTGTTTGTATTCGTGTAAATGCGTGTGTGGTTGTGGTTATGTTCGTATGTGTGCGTGTTGTTGTGGTTGTGTTCGTATGTGTGCGTGTGTGCGTGTGGTTGTGGTTGTGGTTGTGTGTGTGCGTGCGTGGTTGTGCGTGCGTGTGCAGTGTGTCATCCCCTTCTCCTTGTCTTTCGACCATCGTTTTGTGTGTGGCTGGTGCTCGAACTCACTCTGCTGCCTTTGTTTGGCATGCGTGGTTGCAGTTCCCTCTGTGCGATGGCTCCCACCACGAGCACAACAAGCGCACTGGCGACAACCTTGGTCCCATTGTTGTGGAGTAACCTCATCTGTGCACGTCGCGGGTCCACACCAACCCATGAGCTCTGTCTTCGTGTTTCAAGATGGCAACCTCCTGCTTTTGTGCACCCACCCACACATCATCATTTCACTTCAGCGTTCCCATGCTCAAGGTTGTGTCCCATCTTGTGTGTGTGTGTGTGTGTGTGTGTGTGTGTGTGTGTGTGTGTGTGTGTGTGTGTGTGTGTGTGTGTGTGTGTGTGTGTGTGTGTGTGTGTGTGTGTGTGTGTGTGTGTGTGTGTGGAAAGGCGGTGCAACACCTTTGTCAACCCACCTTCCACTCTGTGTCAAAGCGCTGGTCATGCTGCCTGACAATGTTGAGGGACGACGTCCACACGCCCATGGACACGTCCTGGTGTGGGATGGGATGGTGAGTGTGGTGACATGCAGATAGATAGCAACCAAAAGGCAATGACAGATGGATTTGTAGGCAGACAGATGGACACAGGCACACAGACACACAGACACACAGACACGCAGACACACAGACACACAGACACACAGACACACACAGACACACACACAGAGGCACACACACATACACACGCACATACAGACGCGCACACAGACGCACACACACACCTCGCTCTTGTATTTGGTGAGGAGGTGATGGTTGTTGACGATAAAGTCGACGACGGTGGAGGAGATGACATAGCCGCCGCCAAGCGCATACGGCAAGTAGCGATCGCACAGGAACCAGTCCTGCAACAACGGCCGTGGTGGTGACAGTGGCATG